TTGTGTTTGGCAACAATATATTACTCGTGAGCTAGATAGGTATAAAGGACCTTTGAAATCCCCAGTTACTTTTATTCATGTGGAGACTAAGCTCCCCTGCTGAAATGAACTCAACGTTCATTGTAAGGAACATCCCTCTTTGTTCTCTGGAGTAAGCACACTCTGGTTCTGTGCCGGAACCCAGCAGTAGTCCAGTCCCTTCCATCACGGTGGTCCCTGGCACAGACATCGAGAGGAGTGAATGGAGGTGGCTGGACCTGCTTGCCTTCTCCTTCCTCCCCATGACATGGAAATGGGACCAGAAATGGGATCTATCAGATACTATTTTCATCACTATTACAAAATGCCTGGAAAGGTAATTTAAAGAAGGAAGGAGCCAGATTCAAGAGGAGACAGCCTGCCATGGAGGGAAGGTGTGGTGACAGAAAACCGAGGTAGCCACTCAACTTCATAGACAATAAGGAAGCAGAGAGAGATGGATGCTAATGCTCAGCTTTCTTCCTCCTTTTTTCTTTTTATTCATCCCATGGGGTGGTACCACTGATTTTCAGGGTAGGTCTTCCCTCTTTAGTCATATACATCACTTTGATGACTCTGAACTCCATCACACTGACTGTCAAGAGCAACCATCACAGGGGAGAAGTAAATAAATATCCTCAGTCCCCTTCTGGAGTCTGAACCTGAAGAACAGAACAGAAGCCAAACACCTGCTGGAGGTAGCAACTCAACCATAAGTGGTCTCAACTCTGGGGATCCCTATGGCCATGTCTTCAAAAGCAAGTATCACTTTTGGGGGAAAATGAAGTGTAGGGTAAGCCAGCTTAACTCTAGACTTGGCTACTTTCTGCCTATGTGACTTTGGATGAGGAGATGGGCCTTACTCGTCTCTTTAAGATAATAATTGATGCTACCACTTTGGGTAGAGGATGAGATGGGTAGATATGTGCACACAGGGGCACCACCTAGAGTGCAGAGCGAAGTCAGCATGGCACAGTGTGGGGGCTGGTGTTCTAGGGTTATAACTTGGTGGTCTGAATAAGAATGGCCCCCATAGACCCATATGTTTGAATGTTTGGTCCCCAGTTAGTGGTACTGTTTGGGAAGGATTAGGAGGTGGGGCCTTGTTAGAGGAAGTGTGCTACTGGGGGTGGGCTATGACATTTCAAAAGCGCACACCATTCTCAGTTAACCCTCTGTGCCTCCTGTTTGTAGATCAGATGTAAGCTCTCAGCTGCTGCTCTAGTTCATGCCTGCCTGCTGCCGTGCCTGCTGTCGTGGTTCCTGCCACAATGGTCATGGACATACCCTGAGACTCTAGGCCCCAATAAACTCTTTCTTCTGTAAATTGTCTTGGTCATTGTGTTTTGTTGCAGAAATAGAAAAGTAACTAAGACACTTTCCTCATATGAGCTACAAGCCTTATACTTCCTTTTTAATTATTTACTTATTTTTTATGTGCATTGGTGGTTTTGCCTCCATGTATGGGTATGTAAAGGTATCAGATCCTCTGGTGCTAGAGTTACAGACAGTTGTGAGCTACCACATGGGTCCTGGGAACTGAACCTGGGTCCTCTGGAAGGGCAGCCAGTGCTCTTAACTGCTGAGCCATCTCTCTAGCCCCATAAACCTTATACATTCCCCTTCCCCCAGGTTGGAGAAGATGGTTTTCCCAAGAGTTCTAGAGTCCTGGCCCTTTACCGGTCACCACACGATGGCCCCTGCATGCACTGCTGTACCCTGGAAAGAAGCTTTGCTCGTTCTTTCTGTTCAAGCATGAATGACATCACCACCCCAGTCCCTGAAAACTAGAAAGGACATAGAGGGTGCCTTGCAGAGTCCTCCAAGTGTTTCCAAGACATTGCCAGAAGCAGACACCACACCTCCAAGCAAACAAAGGTTGGGCAAGTATTGTTTACTCAAAGAACACTGTGCACTGGTGACAAATCCATGAAGGCATGAGGTACAGAATGTAACAAAATACCCACAGTTAGATGTGAGGAAGGAGGCAACTGGGGGTAGCAGACTGAGAGCTAGCTGAACCTCAGAAGGGCCCCAGGGTCCTGGGTACATCTCCTATTCTTGCTGGCTATGGGTTCTCAAGCAGGAGACAGCATTTCTGGGCCCTTATGCGCCAATGGGTAATGCCAGGAGGGGGCGTTCAGCCAAGTTAATCTGAAAATTCCTTCAGTACATTTAAGAAGTTGAAAGCTGGGGAAGAAATAATAAAGCAATTTTCTCTGCATCCTGGATCCTGAGCTCTCAAGACGAGGTCAAGAAAGGGTCATCAGACAGAAGGCTGAAATAGCCACTTTGCCTATTGTTTCTTTAAATGTTTTAAATCATTTGTGTATATGTATGTGGGTGAATATGATTGTTCATGTATGTGCATGTGCACATATCAGGGCACTGTAGAAGCTAGGTGCCAAACTCTTTGATGTGCTATCCTCAGGAGCTGTCTGCTTTGTTTTTTGAGAGAGTCTCTCACTGGAACCTGGGGTTCACTGATTAACATAGGCAGGCTGGCCACTGAGCCCGATGGAGCCACCCATTTCCATCTAGCCAGCAATGGGATTGTAACATGTGCTATCACACCTAGCTTTTTACATGGAAGCTGGGGTTTGAATTCAGGTCTCAAACTTGCTATGGCCCCAGCCCCTAAATGTTTTAAATCTTTGAACTCTCTACTGGGACAGAAATAGCAATGAGAACATTAGTGCGCTGAGGAGGAAACTTGAGGTGTGGGGGAGGGACGCGCTGGCTGTGCCCTAGTTGACTAATGGTCTTGTTACAGAATGCAGGCCTCATTGTTTTGCACCTGTGAATGAAACCAAGCCCAAGCTTTGTTTTGCAAGAAGAGTCAGTGTCTACACAGACTGAGAAGCCCTGAGGGGAACAAGGCACCCTCATGTGCTGAGGAACAGGCTGGACTTGGGTGTGCCTGTCTCAGGCCTGCTGCCCAGAAGGCAAAACTAAAGAAAAACCAGCCTAAGCTAGTAAAGACCTCATTCTTCCACAAACAGCTGGAGAGAAAAGGTTGCAGCCCCACTAAGTCTTTCTTTCCTTCTTTCCTTCCTTCCTTCCTTCCTTTTTTCCTTCCTTCCTTCCTTCCTTCTTTCCTTCCTTTCCTTTCCTTTCCTTCTTCCTTCCTTCCTTTCTTGCTTGCTTTTTTCCCTTCCTTCCTTTTACATCCCAGCCACAGTTTCCCCTTCCTCTCCTCCTATTCCTTACCCCACCTCTCCTCTGCTCCCCCCATCAATTTATTCCTCTGTTTCTGTTCAAAAAGAGGCAGGCCTCCCACGGGTATCAACAAACCATGGCATTATCAAGTTGCAGTGAGACTAGGCAACTGCCCTTGTATTGAGGCTGGGCAAGGCAACCAGTATGAGAAATAGGTTCCCAAGAACCAGACAAAGCATTAGGGATAGTCCCTGCTCCCATTGTTAGGAGTCACACAAGTAGACCAAGCTACACAACTGCCACATATATGTAGAGGGCCTAGGTCTGGCCCATGCAGGCATTTTTCAGTTGTTGTTTCAGACTCTGTGAGTTCCTATGAACCAAGCTAGTTGTTTCTGTGGGTTTTCTTGTACTGCCCTTGACCCCTTTGGCTTGTACAATCCTTCCTCTCTCTCTTCAGCAGAATTCCTCTATGGGGCTCTGCATCTGTTTCCATCAGTTACTGGATGAAGTCTCTCTGATGACAATTGGGGTAGTCACTAATCTGATCACAGAAGAGGAGCAGTTCAGACTATGTGTCCACTATTGCTAGGAGTCTTAGCAAAGGTCAACCTTGTAGATTCATGGGAGTTTCCTTGCATCAGGTTTCTACCTGATCCTGAAACGCCCACCCTTTTCCAGTCATCTCTTTCAATACTCTCCTCATCCATCCACCTCCTAACCTGATCCCTCAAACTCCTGTCCCCAGCCACCCCCAGTCCGCACAGGTCACCTTCCAGGAAGTGGCTGAATATCTTGAATAACTTCTCGTCACCTCCCTGGCATGTCCATGGCCCTCGTTGTCATAGTCCTCCCACCTACAGTGCTTTAGTCTGCTGTCCTTGAGATCTTCTCGGGATCAAAACATCTCTCTGGGAACCTGACCTCCTTCCTGTGTAGACACACACTGTGTCCTCCTTACTCATGTGTGCCGGTGTTCACATCCAATTGGCCTCTGTCCCAAGTGCCAATATGGCAAAGGAAAATGTGGCAAATCCTCTGGCTGGCAGAGGATTTTAGGGCAGATGATGAGTGAGTAAAGGATAACTTGGCTCAGAGTTGGAAAGGTAGCATCTTCTTCCCATTAACTCACACGTGAGGAAAGAGCCTGGACCGCCTGGGGCTAAGGGAGCAGCTGGAAGAGTACTCCACACCCTTGGGAAAGGGAGCTTTTCCCACTCGAGAGCATTTCCCCACTCCGAGACAGTAACCATCCTTGATAAAAAGTGTTTTGTTTCCATTTGATCAGCGAGACACCGGTGTTACTAGTGTGCCGTGCTGCTGCAGTAAGGCCAGCTTGTCAGTCCCCTCGAACTTACTGGGGAAGTGCCTCCAGGGATGACAGTACTTTGTGAGCCACACAGAGAGGTGAACAAAAACAGATTTGGTTCCTGTGGTCATGAAGTGGGTGTGGGAAGAACAGACATGAGAGACTGAGAAAGCAAACAATACCACAGAGGATTGGCTCGACCAGGAGAAGCCCAGTGACAGCATTTACTAACTAGTGCTGGAAACCCGCACAGGCTCAGACCTGGCTCTTGTTTCTATTTTTGTTTTCCACAGCCCTCAGGGTGGAGGGTTGTGATGGCCCCACAGAAAGAAGGCCTGGACCTTCCCAAAACCCTCCTCTTCCCATTGTCAGAAATGCCATGAGGAGGAGAGAGATGATGAGATGCCCAGGACTGAATCACAGGGAAGTCAGTTCTGGACCCAGCAACCAAGAAAGGCTGCCATTTGGACTGCCCCCAAGGACTGTACAAACCTCCCCCAGCTCAGTCACTTACCAAGAAAGGTCCTTTCCATTTGGAGTGGAAAATGGGATTCTCTTTGCTGCATGCTTGCTGGAGCCTGCTCCGTCCTGCAGAGTGGATTCTATGCCTTCACTCAATTTAAAATGATCTTTGCTTTCACAACTTGTATCTCATGTCTCACTCGGTTCTTTGTTTGAGACACAAAGAACCTAGAGATACAAGATGGTCACTCGGAGTGTTCCTTTTCCTTTACCAGAGGCTTCCCAACTTAACTTGAAGAGCGGCTTTCATATAGCTTGCCTTTTTCAAACTACTGAGTGAAATTAGTCATGCTTTGTTCCTAATATGGTTACATTGAATCTTTTTCTGTTTTTCATATCACACTGTCTATTTGATTAGCATACTGAGGATGGGTGGCTGAGCCCAGGTTCTTAGGGCTGTCAAGGCCCAGGCTCTGATCCCAGCAACCCCACTAACAAAGTCTCCCAGTAAATAAGTGACTTATTTAACTCGAAGCCACAAGAACTAAGGCTGTACCAGATGACAATAAGCTAGGCCCTGGAGATACCACTGTGACCTAAACAGAGACTAACAGGGTAACGGGTTATCAAAGAAACAGTAGGCAAGTACTTAGTCACGTTAAGATTAGTAGTGGTATTACTGCCAATGGTCAGCTGTAGGCTGTCTGGAGCCATCTTGGGAACCAACTAGCAAGCCTTAGTCTAATTTTATAATCTGGACATTATGCTGACCAGATTTAAATTGTAAAAATAGACTTTATTGTTGTTTTTAACCACAACCTATACGTTCAAACTTATTTTAATTTCAGGAGTTACATTTAACATAAAAAAAAAAAAAGCTAAGACACAGGTATCAAAGCTCTAGGGAACGAAGTTTCTGGCCCAACAAGTTAGATACTCCAATCTATCTAGCAATGAATGATTGCAGGTTCAAAACAGCTCCTACAGAAATATCACAATGACACCACATTTACATGGCACTGGTGAGATGGCTAAGTGGATAGGGGTGCTTGCTGCCAAGCCTGGTGACCTGAGTTCAATTCCTGGAATCCACATAGTAGAAGGGAATAATCTACTTCCACAAGCTGTCCTATAAGGACCTCATTTGGGCAGCAGTGTACTCACAAGCACACGGCTGCACGGGTGAGTGCGTGTGTGCGCACGCGCGCGCGCGCGCGCGCGCGCGCGCGCACACACACACACATAAAAAATTTTAAAATTTAAATGTAGATGCATAAGAACTCTAGAAGAAACAAACATAAAAACATAACTAGTTATTTACATGATAATTAAAGCTGATGTTTTTACAACTTCCATATTTAAAATTTTATTTAATAGATGCCTTTTTTTGTAATAAACTTTTTAAAACATCTGTTCAAATATGCAACAATCTTGTTTTCTTTGGGGTATTATTCAGGCCTACAGTCTTATTCTTTGTGAGTGTTCACTGTGGCCTCCTTTTTCTCTTCCTATATATATTTCCTGAATGAAGGAGTAGACAAACACTTAGAACCAGAGCAAGACAAACTAATGAAATGTTTATGTTAAGCCAGGATTTCCCAACGAAATGTCAAAATAAAAAACTTGGGTTTTCTTTGTTTAATATTTTTAATTTTAAAAGATTTTTTATTGGTTTATTTTATAAATCTGGGTATTTGGACTGCATGTGTGTCTGTGTACCACACGCATGCTTGGTGCCCACAGAGGCCAGAAAAGGGCATCAGATCTGAAACTGAAGTTACAGGTGGTTGTGAGCCATAATGTGGGTGCTGGAAATCAAACCAGGGTCCTCTGGAAGAGCAGCCAAGTGCTCTCAACCACTGAGCCAGCTCTCCACCTCTGTTTGGAGTGTCTGACAAAAAGATCTATTAGCCAGATATGTGGCATATACCTATGAGGGCTGAGTTTTAAAGGTCAACTTGGGTTACACAATGAGACTCGGTTAAAAAAAAAAGAAAGAAAGAAAAGAAAAAGGAAAAAAAGAGAAGAAAAATGAGTCCATTTTATTTGTCTTACTCAATTCTTGGCTATTTCGTTTGTTGATATGAACTTTGGGTATAAGTAGATTAAATTAAAAAATAAATGTTTAAACACATTCTGACATTTCATATTTCTCAAAATTCCATTGTTTAAAAGTTATCTGCCTTTTATCAAATAACATCCTCCAGGCTTCTCAAGAAATCTCATTTCTTATCCACAGATATTTGGATCCCATCAGAATATGGCTTTCATTTATAACTACATCTCCTCTGGAGTCTTTTGCCGTCTGCTTGGTTGTTATGGGTAATAAATTAGAACAGATAAATAAAAAGTATTCAATAGCAGAATTTTACCCTGGAAGAGTTGTGAGTGATCACTTGGTCTAACATCCCTCCCAAACAAGGAATCCCTTGCAAGCCTCGGCCAGTAGGCTTCTGGTTTCTGCCTGAACTGATGCTGGGAGCTCACTGAATTCCAAGGAAATCGTGTTGGGTTTTTTCAGGGCTCTTCTTATCTTTAAATCTGCCACAGATGAAGGTTTCCTTTTGTTATACGTGCATTCCTGTTGAGCACATAAAAAAAAACAAATGTTCAAAAAGCTTTCTTTGTCCGAAGAAGTAGAAATTGTATTTTTCATTCATTCATTTAGCGTAGTTTTGAACACCTACTGTGTGGTGAGTGTTATCTGGAGGACTGGGGACAGAGCAATGGTTGAGAGACAAGGCTACTAGCCCAAGATGTATTTACACTCATTCTGGAATAAATCTTCTACTCATATTTTCTTTCTCTAATTAAATGCATACATTGTCAGTGAGCAGATGGGAAATAGTCAATGTTAGCTCAGATCCAAGAATATGTAGGGATTTCTTGTATACCTCTTGAAATTACTGGAGATCCCCAAGGGAAGGTTAAACTGTCCTATTGGACTGGGCTGGACATGTTCTAGGTTAGCACTGTTTAGACATTAAAGAAATGTAACCAAAAAAAAGAAGAAGAGAAAGAGAAAGAGAGAGATGTAACTTATTTCATCCCTAAAGCTAGGGGAGCAGGCTATCCCATCCAGAAAGAAGAGATAAAACAGGCATGTACCAGCAGACTGCTTATGCTATATGCTATATGTGTGTATACATATATACATATGTATACATATACATATATATATACACATATATATGTATATACATATGGTGTACTATGCACATAAACACACTCATTTATTAGTCCAGCACATGCACACAGTCACATAAAGGTGGAAAGATACTGTATGTCACTTATCTCATTGCTATGACAGAATGTCTGACAAGCAGGGACTTAAGGGAGAAAAGATTTGTCCTGGCTGGGGGGTTATGGGATGCAGCTCTTCTGCCACGGAAGGCCCTGTGGCAGCAGGTCCTGAGTGGTGTGACATGAGGCTGGCCCTCCTTCCCTCCTCACATTTTGGTGGAATAGACAGCGGAGGACAGTGAATGCCAACTCAGCTGGCTTCCTAGCTTTCCTTTTTACACAGCCTGGGTCCCCAGCCCATGATGGTGCCACCCTTGTTATGGGGTGGGCAGGGGCTCCCTTCAGTTAATGCCTTCCAGAAGCATCCTCACAGACACTCTATACCCAGTCAAGTTGACGAGGAAGATCAACCATGGAAAACACCCACCTGATTTTCAAAATTATTATGTCAAGGTAATGGATTGTCGATCCTTTTCCCTTTTGTTCTTCTGTACTTCACTATCCATTTTCTGAAAATGAAAAGTATTACTTACAGCAACCCGATTATACAAAAACAAAGCAAACGGAACAGAGCCAGTCCTGCTGAAAGTTCATCTAATGTTGCCTCAGGGCCTTGTTTCTCCTAGCAACTTTTCCACCCCCACCTCTTTGTCTGCCAGCCAATAATAGCTCTCAGCTCAAGCCTCAACTCTGAAACAAGTTTCCCTGATGTCCCTGGGGCCCTGCAACCCCTCCCTTTCTTTGTGCACCTGCTGAGCGAGGCGTGTACACAATGGAGCCACCTCGGTATTGCCTGCTTGCATGATTGCAGTACCCACAGGCCTGGCCCTGACTGGGCCTTTAGCTCTGACCCCAGCCTCTAGCAGGGTGTCACATTTCAAGCAAAAAGTCAGAAGGCATGTGTAGCCTGAGGCACCTCATGTGGGTCAGTCCCATAGCTTCCCAAGGGCTTTCATTCAACTCATTCCTCCCCAACCTCTGCCTGACTCCCTTCAGCCCACCAACTAAACTACACCACGCTTTAGTTTATCCAGGAGCTTCTACAGTGTGGAGTGTGGATCCAGCTCATTTGTTCAGATAGATCATCCATTCACACATGTGTCCCGTTCCTCCCCAACTATGCATCCAGCCCTGAACAGATCATGCTTCCTGTTGGGGGCACAGAGGTCCTTGTGCTCGTCGAGAAGCCCTAAGAGAACCAGGAATGTTAATCGTGTAGGGTGGGGTGTCTCCTCGATGGAGGAGATAAAATTCAGGTACCTGCATTCTATCCAGAAGGCTGAGAGTGGATTTTGACCTGGTGACCTTTTTGCTCTCTGCAAAGGCAGACCTCACTTACCTAATTCCCCAGAATAATTATCCCAGACTCTCTAGAGCGGTACCCATCCTTTAGGGGAGATGTCACATGTGCTCCATGGCCTGCCGACTTCTATGCTATTGGTCAGAGACCACACTTGATTCTAGGCCCTTTAGCTATCGAACCCACCCTCCTCATGGTCACATGTACTGATTTAAGTGTTATTGGGTACCTGGAATTGGATTAATGTTGCCTGGAACCCTTTTCCCAAAGTGTACTGTGTTTTAAATATGCTGACAATGAACCACCTGGCATTAGATGCCCACCCCCTCTTGCCTCCCTACCCCCCCCCATGCCCACGGTCTGATCCAGGCTGACGAAGTCAGTCTATGCTGGGTTTTCATTCTCATCTCTTCACAGGGTTCACGTCCCTGTATGACGCCTGCATACACCCCACAGCTCCCCACCCAGGGGATTTCTAAAAATAACTACACCTCGTTCATACATTAGCTCAAAAGCCACTACTGTTGAGATGTGCCCATCGAAATCCCTTCTCTCTGAGGCTTCTGTGGAAGTTTTGAACCTCTTAGCTCTCACAGCCCCAGGGCTGTGAGTCTCTTTCTGCTTTTATGTGAGGATTAATTTTCATGTGACATGAGTCATGCTCTCCTAGCCTCTGTATCTTACCATGGAAGCTACTTGATAAGGGCGTGTTGATTGGAGTACTTTAGGAAACAGATGAATGAAAAGTGCTCTCAACATGATGGAAATGCTTGTGAAAACCACGTCGAAGAATGGTTAGGGGAAAAACAAAAACAAAAGAACAAAAAAGCAGAACACCATCGGTGAGGTCTGGGGGTGGGGAAGGAGACACGTTCACGGCCACTGCAGTGTGAACTAGTGCAGCCACTATGGAAATCAGTATAGAGGTTCCTAAGAAGCCTGAAAGTACAACTGTCATGGGCCCTCACCATTTCTGGATACACACACACACACACACACACACACAAAATCCAAGCCAGCATGCCACAAGATTGTCTGTTCATCTCTGCTTACTGTGGCCCAGTTCACAACAGCCTCATTGTAAAGTCAGGCTCAGAGTCCATCAACAGATGAAGAGATGAAGAATCCATGTGTATGGATACACATGATGGCATCTTATTTGGCCATAAAAAAGAAAAAGTATGCCATTTGTAGGAATACTGATAGAATTAGAAATCACCATGTTAAGCAAACTAAGAAAGACTGGGAGAGACAAACATCACGTTTTCTTTCATGTGGAACTTAGATTTTACACTCACATACACACATACATACATACAATGAAAACAGAAGGGAGACTATTTGGAAAGAGGAAGGCATGGTGGTGACTGGAGAAGGTACTGGCTAGTGAATAGGAAAAGGTGTATATGCATGTATAATAATATTATGACACCTGTCTTCGTTAGGGTTTCTATTGCTGTGGCAAAACACCATAACCAAAAAGCAAGTTGGGTTTATTTGGCTTACATGTCAGCATTGCTGTCCATCACTGAAGGAAGTCAGGACAGGATAGGGCAGGATCCCAGAGGCAGGAACTGATGCAGAGGTCAGGGAGGAGAGCTGCTTACTGGCTTGCTTTCCATGGCTGGCTCAGCCTGCTTTCTTATAGAACCCAGGACCAGCAGCCCATGGATGGAACCACGCACCATGGGCTGGGCCTCCCCACTGACCACTAATTGAGAAAATGCCTTACAGCTGTATCTCATGAAGACATTTTCTCAGCTGAAGCTCCTTCCTCTGATGACTCTAACTTGTGTCAAGTTGACACACAAAAACAAGCCAGAACAAAACCCATTGCTTTTTCCATCAGTATATACTAATAAAAAATGATTTGGGAAATAAAAGTTCTAACTTTACTTGCACATGAAGGTCCCTAGCAAGACCAGCGCAAATTTCCAAGGGCAACACAATTACCAAGGTTAAGATGGGTTTTTTTGTTTTGGTTTGGTTTGGTTTGGTTTGGTTTCTCAAGACAGGGTTTCTCTGGATTGTTTTGGAGGCTGTCCTGGAACTTGCTCTGTAGACCAGGCTGGCCTTGAACTCACAGAGATCTGCCTGCCTCTACCTCCCAAGTGCTTGGATTAAAGGTATGCACCACCAACTTCTGGCTCAGTTAGGATGGTTTTTTAACACAAAATAACAAAAGGCAGTCCTCACAATGGAGTGAACAGGGCCATAACCAGATTAAATGTCACAGGGCCTTGATTCTATCCTTGATTTTGCTTCTGAGGAGCTATGATTGTTCAGTTGGAGCCTCCAGCTCACCCCTACATTGTTGGGAAAGCCCCATCCCTGTCTCTTTCTCTCTTCAAGTCCTGCCTTCTCAGAGAGTCTCTGAGCAAAGAAAGGCCCAGTTCTGCCTTTTTGAAGGCTTTTGCAGCTTCCTAGCCTGAAGTTGTCAGCTGCCCAAGTTCCCGCCTAAGCGCTCAACCTTTGACCTTACTTGGGCACAAATCCAGCATGTGGTGGACTCGACATCACCCTTCCTCGACAGTCTATAAAACTTTCCTGCCCTGGCTCTGGTTCAAGACCTGGCCTTAACCTCTGGGACTGCTAAACCTGCCTGGGAGTTGCTTTGCACAATATACCTGTTGTTACACTTTTTCAATTCCACTTGACTTGGCTTATTGCACTGGTGGGGAAACTTATTATCAGGGGGAAAAAATAAAAAATAAAAAAATAAAAACTATTACTGGTAACTTGGGTAAGTCAATGCACTCTTCTGATACTTAATATTATCTGCCTTAAAATGAATGGAGGGATCAATAGAAGCAACAGCTATAAAAATACCTGTGAAAAGTCCACAGAGATGTCAGGTGTTAGAGTATAAATTTATTTCAACAAGGAAATATTAGTTGAACATCAGGTATTAACAGGGGCTCTGCCAGGTATGAAAGCTAGTGGGGAAAAAAAAAGGAAATGTCATTAATAGTGTCAACTTCCTTCATGCTTTCAGACATATCCTTTGATATTTGATTCTGTTTTCAATGACATCAATGAAGAAGGCCAGGTGTCCTCTCTTCTCTCTAATAGGGAAATGAGATGGAGACAGAGTTCATCGTATATTCCCTATCCCCAATCCTTCTGCATGCAGCCTATATGGACCCACAAGGAAGGCAGGGCAAAGATCCTCATGGTCCTCTAATGATTCAAGACAAATGAAAACCAGTGTGCTCAGCCATTTCACACCTCCAGCCCTCGGGTGAATAGTAAGCCATGTCTGTAGCCATGACAGGATGCTGACCTGATGTTGAGAAGGGTGTTTTTCTAAGCATATCATGAAGACCTTTTGATCCACCCTGCTTTCCAAAATAGAAGGGAAGATATCAAGATATCAGGAACAAGAGAGGAAGCTGGCCAAAGTCACCTTCATACTATCCAGTGTCAAAGTGTTCCAAGGTTAATAAAAACCCGGAGATGGATATTGGGGTTAAAGCTGAAGATCAAAGAAGCAAATCGGCCAGCCACTAGAGTGTTCTCACCTCTACCAGTGCTCAGACCAAAGGGGTGATCCACCAAACATCAGACTGCTTCCGACTGCACTGCACCTCAGACTCACTCAGACTGCACTGAGCTCCTGTTTCTTCTTGGCTTATATTCCTCTCTAGTGCTGGGATTAAAGGCGTGGAATTCCAAGTGCTGAGATCACCTTTGTGTGAGCTCTGTTTCTCTTTTAGACTGATTCACTCCCATGTAGCCCAGGGTGGCCTTGAACTCACAGAGACCTGTATTCCTCCAACTCCCAAGCGCTGGGATTAAAGTTGTGTACCAGCACTGCCTGACCTCTATAGCTAACTAGTGTGGCTGCTGGGATTAAAGATGTGTGCCACCACTGCCTGACCTCTATGGCTAAGTAGTGTGGCTAGCTTTGCTCTCTGATCTTCAGACAACCTTTATTTGTTAGATCATAAACAAAATAGCACCACAGCAAAGAATAAAGCACTCCTGCCTAAGATACTGTCTTGATAAGATAGGACCACAAAGCTGTAGGAACAAGGGTTTGGGGACAAAAGGCGAATCGATTCCTAAAAGATGTGATGTCTTCACTGAGCTTCTGCGAATAAGAAGGATTTCATCAGGAGGGGCCAAATGAGGCCAGACATTCCAGGCAGAGGGAATGTCCAAGGAAAGACAGGAGTGCAGAGCTGGGTGAGACTTCAAGGCATCCTGGGCTTCTTTGTCTAGTAGTTTGCAGAGAATCGATGCTTTCTTCTTCCTTCTGGGCTCAGCAAACACAGCATGGGATTCTGGGCTGATAGGAAGATCCTTCCCAAGGATGGAGTGT